AGACCCCACTCCACTCCTGAGGGAAATTCTCTCTGTTTCCTGCCTAATTCCCACACACAGATGAGAGGCATTTGGCTCCCAGAGATCCAGCTATCCAGCACCGGATCAACTGGTCAATGACCCTCTGGTTCTGCCTGGTCTGAGCAAATGTAGACCCCACTCCACTCCTGAGGGAAATTCTCTCTGTTTCCTGCCTAATTCCCACACACAGATGAGAGGCATTTGGCTCCCAGAGATCCAGCTATCCAGCACCGGATCAACTGGTCAATGACCCTCTGGTTCTGCCTGGTCTGAGCAAATGTCAATGACCTACAAGAGGGAGAAGGAAGAGATGCAAACTCCTCCTGATTAGGGATGTGAGCGACTAGTCAACTAATAAGAGGAGCAGAGGGGTATCGTTCAGTCAGGTTCGTTCTCTGTCAGGGTTCCTGGGTCCACTCAAATGGGTTCCTGACTGGTTCTTTACTCCATCAATGATGATAAACTTTCAGCGGTGTGTGTGTGTGTGTACTCCCCTGTCTAACACGTTGACCCTGTGCATGTAAGTCAGCACAGCCGACTCCCAGAGAGCCCGCAGAGACCACAAATCAGATAAAGATCAAAATCACCCGAGCAGGTTTATTGCCAAATGACACACACTTATCATTGTCAGCAGACAGACTCGCTGCTGTGCCGCTACACCTCATGTAAGCTGTGACCATGTGCTAACACCCATTAATGCTGTAGCGCCCGCTCCCAGCATGGTCAGCCGGCGATCACCCTTTGCAGTGCTCTTTTATAGACATGCAAACAAATTATATCCCTTCTGACATACCAGGTTGTCACGCTCTGTTACCGGGTTACCACCCCTCACCTTGCAGAAGCAGGGGCTAACTTACTATCCTTCATGCTGTCAACTTACTATCTATCATGCTGTCAATTTTGACCTGGTCCTGAACCTAGGGCAGTATGTACGTTAGTTCTTGGGGAGTCAGTTGGTACCAAAATGTTTCTTATTGAGATATTCTGCTACTCCCCTCTAGCTGGTAGCTTGTACTTGATCCTTGTTACTGGTGTCTCCCTATTGTGGTATTGGTACTGTGATTTGGCCTTTGTGGTACTGCTGATAGCAACACACTCCTACTAGGGCAGGGATGTCCAAACTTTTTTCAAAGAGGGCCAGATTTGATGAAGTGAACATGCGTGAGGGCCGACCATTTTGCCTGACATTCTTTGAACCATTAAAATTGAATGCAAATTAACTATTTTATGCAAAGTTTATTGCAAACGGCATACTTTTCATTTCGTCACATGGATGACAAATCTAAACAGGTGTTAAATCACTCTGCCTTTCATATCTGAAGGCCAGATGAAAAAAAAATCCAGGAAGCTGAAATATATGTCAGGAACATTGTAAAGTACATTACATATTATTGGTAATAAAGGTTGTCTGTCAACTTTTAAGTTCAAAAAATATGAACAGGAACATAACACCAAGTACTGTATACATGTTGGCTGTGTCTACACTGGCATGAATTTCCGTAAATGCTTAAAA